CAAAATATGAAGAAATGTATCCACCTGCATTAGAAGAATTTTCATTTATAACAGATAATACATATGAAATAAAACATATTCTTCGTATGGAACAAATTATTATGAAAGTAAGTTGTGTTGAATATATAAGAAAAATTTTGTTTCGAATATAACAAATCAATTATTAAATTTTCAATAGAAGAAAGTATATGGAGTAAACTATTAGACGATTATATTTATATATATTTTATCTATAAAACATTAAATCTTTTTACACTTATCTTGAAAAAATTTGTTTTTTGCATTAAGGTTGATTTTTAATTTAGTTATTCGTAAGAATAAGTGTAAGATCAATGTCAATATTAGAAATAAGTTTAATTAAAGGATGCATTTCGGCAAATATAATTGAAAGTTCACTTCAAATTAGTAAGACATTTAATTTCCTTTGATTGATAGAAGAAAATAATCTGATAATCATTCATATGTAAAAATGAATTTTCACATCAATGATTTCAGCAGTTAAGAAATAGTAGGAAGTTGTAAGTAGTATTATGATAATGATATCCGGCAGCTAATTCTACTCGTTTATGATCAACTACCATCGGAGGTGGAAAAGATTTGTCCTCAAAGGAATCAACCACACATTATTTATCTCTGAGTTTCGTCATGATGTCATCTAATAATTTATTATATGAAAAAGAAAAAAAACATTTATTCGAAAGTTTCGTCTTTCAATTTATGTAAATATAATTCTATTTCGAGTGTTTCATTTTTTCTTTTAAACTATATAACAAAAAAATTTAATGATTTAAAAATTGAAATCTATTCTAATTTTGTTAATTTTCATATAGATGCTTAATTTTTCTATATCCGGACCAACATGTTATACATTTTTACAACATTATTTAATTAATCTTAAATCAATAATATCAACAGATAATAATGATGATTATAAATGTCTTATAATGTTATCGAATTATTTATGTACTTTAACACTTTTATATGATCGACCATTTTCATTATATTATTCATCAATAATAGCTGCTAGTTGTCTTTTATATTCAATTCAATTACTTAATCAATATTTAAATATTGATATTAATTGGTCAAATTATTATATTCAATTAACAACATATACACAAAATGATTTAAATGAATGTATATTATCTTTAACTGAAATATATTCAAAAACATATTATCAAGATAAAATAACATCAAGTTTACTTCGACGTTATTCAAATATTAAAAAATATAATGAATTATATCAAAAACGTGTACGTGAAATAATTCATCAATCAAAATTAGAAGAAGAAGAAGATAATGATGATGATAATATACTTGATTTAACACTTGATGAATTTGAAAAAAATAATATTAGTTTAGATTGTCATCGATAAAATTTAATTTATGTTTTTATTAATAAATTCATCATCATTATGCGCTTTCGTTATTTATTGGTTTTTTTCTTTCTTTTGTTGGTTGTTAACATCGTTAGACAATATAAATCTTCTTTTTTTTTCATTTGAATCTCATTCTGTCTTATTTTACTTATTAAATTGTCTATCAAACTATTTGATTATTACCTTATGTTTGTTGTTGTTTGTGTATCGTGTTCTCTGTTGTTTATGTATGTGAATTTCTTTTTCTTTCTCTAGACGAAAAAAAAACAAAAAAAAAGCCACACTTATTTGAATCAAATTGTTTGCCCTCTGTTTTTCTGTTTATGAACTGAAAAATATTCTTTTTCTTTTGTTTTTTTTTTTTTGTAATATGTCAATAATTATTTGAAAAGATCGAATATATATGTTTTCAATAAGAGCATGTTAAATAATTCTATTTTTATGAATATTACATACGTAAATATCAAAAAACAGTCTAATGACAATATTATTTAAAAATAGAAATTTTTATGCTAAATATTATGTCAAACAAAGTCATACTTGAAAATGATATCCTTTGATCTTTGATAGAATACTATAATTGTAAATTTGATTCATGTCTTCAACACTAGGAAAAACAAAATTAGTTCATAATCAACAAATAAATAATGCATATTGCACATCGAATTAACATAATTATCTCCTGCGTCATTCATGTTAAAACCAGAAATAAACAAGTTTGACACCTTAATGGTTGATTTATCTCGTTCTTTTAATCAATTTTTCCGGTCCTAAAATTAGTTTGTTGATTGTTATTCATGTTGAAAATTTTCGTTTAATATATTTACAATTATCATCAAGCTTGAAGCTCTAACTTTTACTTTTGAACTTTTTCATTGTATAAGAAAAATCTTTAAATAATTCTAATTATATTGATTACGTTCATGAAACCTTAGGTAGCCATTAAAAGTTAAATTCGGTGTAAATTGAAGATTTTCTTCTTCGAGATTGCATATACATTTTTCTGGGTTGCTTGTAACTCACTTTCAAAAATGCTCTATTACCAGTAGTTTTTATCGAAAAAAATTGAAAAAAAAAGTTTTTTCTTTTATTGTAAAAAATTTGCTAACTGTTAGCTTCATACAAATATGAAGTATTAAAAAAACTTAAAAAATATGAACTTTAATGTAACAGCTGTAGGTGCAAGTCCTGTGGGACTAAACTGTAAGGCACAATATGGATCATGTTACAAGTTATAGGAAGATTGTTTTATTCTATCTATTTTGAGACATATCATCTATTCATCATCTTTTTACTTAATCTTCTACAAATGGAATAAGAATTTATTGTCCATTTCAAAAAACAAAAAAAGGCGGGTGAGTATTTTTTGAATAACTTTTGATAAAACCTCTGTAAAGAGCTGTGGTTTTCACCGTTGAAAAGAGCAGATGAAGACGCACCGAGTAGTATATTATAGGTTTCTCTAGGACGTTTTTTAAAGTTTTCTTGATGAATTTTCTGAAAAAATTACGGAAAATCGGTTTCTCTAAAAATAAGAAAAACTCAATAAAAGTGATTTTTTTTTACAGAAATTGAGAGAAAATTTGGCTAAGAGTTTCACAGAAAATGTCTATAACACCTAAACGGGTAAGCGTAAAAGTTTGGACCTTGCGTAGTTTTAAAGATCTTCATTTAGCGCTTCGAATGCATACTTGATTATTGAAAATTGACCTTAGTTACCTTACGAAGTATGGTGGTTTTCAAAAACGTCGATTTAAGTCCTTGATAAAATTAGGTTAAATTACTTTGTAATATACAGTTCGATGCGTCTCCATCTCCTCTTTTTAACGGTGGAAACTGCAGCTCTCTACAATGATTCTATCGAAAGTTATTCAAAAAATACCCGCCCACTTAGTTCATATATTGTATTGCGATATTATTGATATATGATCTTTGATCGTATATCAACTACGTCTATCATGATCTGTTAAGGGGAAATTGGAATGAATGCGAGTTTCTACCTTATCTAATTCAACATTCCTTTAAAATTGTGTTTTACAATAGTCAAACTTCGTAGTCCATTTTTTCATTCTATTAGCAATAGTATGTTTATAAAAAAATAAGAAGTTTTTCAATTGTGTTAAATAATGATGTCAAATCGAACAGCATGAAGCTTATCAATTCTTGTAAAAAATCATGTTTTCACTTTAGAAAGTTCATTCTTAGTATTCGTATATCTGAAATGTACAAGACTAAAATAAAAATTTATTTCTATTAGACTCGACATGAGATATATAAATTTTACGTTGTAGATCTTCGTTGAATTGTGTTTAATTTTTGTTTTATCAGCGCATAGAATTCTGTATGCTTTTTTTTAAAAAGCTTCTAAATTGTTGAATAGCATATGAATGCAAATAGCTATCAAGATATTACAAAATTATTTTTGTTGTCTAATTTTCAATCTATATTAATAATTTTGCTTGCAACTATATGTGTAAAGTCAAAAAACGACGCAAAATAAATGATATGACTTATAGTTAAAATGTATGTAAAGTCTTCGTGACATAATCTTGCCTGTGGGTATTTTCTTTCCAACTTTTCATTATTATACTTTTACATAATGATAATGGACATTGTGTATAAAAGATATGATGAAGTGAATGAACCTTATTGTTTCCTCATTTGTGTTTCTGTATATATTTTTCAATAGTGAATAATCATTTTCAATGAACTTCTCAAACTATACACAAGTCAGCCTCTCATAGTTTGTGTGAATCATCTAAAAACATTTCTCGACTGATTTATAATTTTCTTTTTTTTTTTGGAAGAAGATTTCAAACTTTAAAAATATCCGTTTTTGCAAAATAGTTGTATTTCAGTAAACACTTTCAAATAAGATTTGAACTTTGTATCGTAGATGAAGAAGAGTAGTCACTAGATTATGGTAGCAAGAAAAAGTTTTCATTTATCAGAGATCAATAATTATTAGAATTATATAGCAGAAGAAATAAAATGTTTATAACTCATGAATTATTCAGAAAAAAAGAAATCTCAGCTTGTTCGATGATCAACATTTGGTAATAACAATGATTATGAGTCCATAACTATCATGATCGAACAATAATATTCAAAGACTTGAATAACGCATTTATTCGTTTCGATTAAATTCTCTAATTAAATCGGCAAATTTGATTCAGTTGAAAACAATTTAACTTTGTTTTAAGATTAAAAATAATGATGACATTTGAAAAATACAAATTCTTTAAGGATGTAAAGTCTTGTGAATAAGAAAATCAGAATTATATTTTTTGTTTTAAATTTAACTGTTTTATTTTGAGAGTAATAACAAGAAGACATAACAGTTAATACAAAAGAAGAAAATAAATAAATAAATAAATAAATAAATAGATAAATATATTTCTGTGTATGAAATTCTTCGACAAACACAACAGAGATTTTATCTAAGGTCTAACAGAAAGAAAAAGAAAAGAACAAGAAGAACTGCATACGCACACAAGTAAACCATAAATAAGATCCATAAACATAAACATGTGTCTTACACAACAACGACATGTTTTAAATAATTACCAAACAGCAAACATGAATTATATATTTTTGTCGAATTTTTTCTTTTTTGTTTATTCAATGATGAGAAACAGTTGTACTTCGTCCTGTTCCAGCTAAATTATTATAAGCAAGTGAACCTGTTGCAGGTACATAACAAAAAGTTGTTGTTGTTGTTTGTGTCATTGTTACAAATTGTTGTGGTTGAACATTTGTTGTTGATGTATTGCGAGAGAGTACAGCAGAAGCCGAACATGTTTGATCCGTAACATCGATAGATGATGATGGAGCTATTGGATCTATTGTATTATTATTACCTGCTATTTGATCATGAGAACCTGCTGGTGCATTTGATGGTAAACGAGTTGTTGATAAACGACTAGCAAAGCGAGGATGATAATCCATTGTAGCACTAGTATTATTTGTTGAAAGTGATGATGCTGATCGTTGAAGTCCATTCGTATAGTTAGTAGATGGAGCAGTTCTAAAAAATATTTTATAAAAAATTTGTAAAGTTTTTCAATGAATACATACATAGTTGCAGCTGATGGTATACGTATTGATGATGCAGTAAAACGAGGTCGAGTTACAGGTGGTGGTCGATAATGATTTGGTTGATGATGTTGTTGTTGATGATGATGATGATAAGTATTTCGTAATGAACGTGATGAACTATGTAATGTTGATTGACGTCGATTGGTAAATGCTGATGGACCACTTATAGTACCACCACAGAAGGCTGAAGCTGAACTATTATTATTATTATTATTATTATTATTACTCCATAATGAAAATCGATCAAAAGCTGTTGTAAGATCATTTGTTGATGAACGACGTTGATCATGTTGCTGTTGCTGTTGCTGTTGTTGTTGTTGATAAAGAGAAGCTTGTTCAGGAAAGAGTGCATCAACAATAGAAGTCATTTGATTCATATTATTATTTGGTGATGAAATATTAGTTGAATCAATTGAATTAAATAATTGACGAATACGTTCATTAAATACACGTTCATCATATGTTGTTGATTGTTGAGATTGATTTTGTGTTTTTGCTTCTGTTGATATCATTTTCAAATGCACGATATTTTAAAGAAAAATTTTTGATTTTCTTTGTGTTAGAATTTTACTCGCTGTTTTGTTTTTGATTGACTAGACTAGAACGAGCACAACGCTATGTCTAACGTATACGTATGCGTGTTTGTTTATTATGTTTTCTGTACACTATATATATATATATTTATTTTTTTACTGGTTCAGTTTTATCGTTCTTGCTTTCGACGTCGAGTTTCATCTTTCTCTTTGTAGTAGATGATTCCAATTGGTAAAGAATGGAAATCAAATAATAAAAGACAAAGAAAAACTAACATATCTTTTCATCAAGAAACAACTGGACATCTGATTAACTTTAAAAGTAATATTACAATTAATTGAACTCGATTGTATAATCTTTGAAGTCAAAATCAACTAAGTATTAATTCCTAACCTTTTTCATATGTAGAAAAAAAAAATCGGTTTATACTTTGATTATATTTCATAAGCAATATGATCTAATCTTCTCATTAACTAGAGTCGTCTCACATTAAAAAAATGACGCCAGACATTACTAATGAATATTTTATATAATAAATCATAATACTAATTAGATATTCTTTCAGAGTACAAAAACAACATAGACAAATATATAGAATTTGGCTAGATTATTATTTGACTTTATTTCTTTTTTAGTTAAAAATTTAACAAACAAAAATATAATAATACTAAAAAATTTATACTAAAAAAAACACAAAACAAACAATTATATGTTTTACAATTTCATACTCTGCATTTTTTATAATGTAAACATTTATCTTTATAATACTCTTCAATACATACTTTTATACTTTGACTATGATATATATATGAACCTGTTGAAACAGATCTGATAAGAATTGTTTCATCACGAAGTTCATCTAACATTTTTTGTCTTACAGTAGCATCTTGTTCAATTTCAATTAATTCATCAATTGTTATTTCAGGTTGATATGATAAAACACAAAGAACATTGAATAAGAACGTTTGTTCTTGAAGAGTTTTTCGACATCTGATCTTTTCAATTCGACGTGCTATATCTTGTAAAATTGATTTTCGTATAGCTTAAAATAATTAAAAAAAAAACAAAAAGAAATTAAGAAAGTAGGATTTGTTGTTGTTTTTTCTTTTTTTCATTAGGAAATCTCTAAGTTTAACTTACTATGAAAAGATACACCACTTTCTAATTTTGATGCTGCATTTTGTAAACTTTTTATACGTCCTCCGAACAGATTGTAAAGATCTTTGGCTATTTCTTGAGAAAGATTTCTTTTTTCTATCAAATAAGTCATTGATTCTTCTTCAGAGAGATCAGATATTTCGAAAAATGTTGATGCTCGTGTAATACTACTTCGACCTTTGAACAAAAACAAAGAAATACTTAAGTTTAAAAATTATATTTTATTCTAAAAAAAAAATATCTTCTATCCATGTTTCAAACACAATTCCAAAACAATCACATTTGTTTTTATATTGATAAGGCTCATAGACAACCATCAGTCAACTCTAGTTGCGGCAAATTCGAACTCAAAAGCAAGCTGACATTGAAATCGAAATTACATTAGTCGACAACTTATAATAGATATCATCAGGTATGAAATACTCAGTTGACATATCACACTAGCTGGTTTATCTTTTTGATAAGTATCTAAAAGTGTAACTATAACCAATGATATTTTTCGATTTCTATTTGAGACAGTGACTTCTACTTATACAATATTTATTTATTATTATAAAAAATAAAAATCTATTTTGTAAACCTTCCATTTGTTCCGGTGCAATTCCAACTGATGTAACAAATACAGTAATCCATGATGAATCATCAATAGCTGTTTTAGCTGTATCTTGTAATATTTCAAGCATTTCTGGATCTTTTTCTGCAAGTATATCACAATTATCAAGGATTAATACAGGTACACAACCATATTTCTTTTTAAAATCGATTGCATATTTTTCAAATATCAATAAGACACGTTCCCAACTTTTTTCTTCTCCTAGAACAATAAATAAATAGTCATTAGCCAAAACTTTATCACTAAATAGAAAAACAAACTGAATAAATATTAATATCAAAAAGTATTATTCATTTGATAACAAAAAAAAAATATATATATATATATATAAGACAAACAAAAATAAACAAGTTCTTGAATGCATACCTTCATCAGGTGGTGAACTAAACATTGTCGATTCGATCCATGTTGATAAACGAATATGTTCTTTAAAATCAAAGTTTATTGCATCAGCAAAAGCAACACCAAATTTCTTTACATTCGACGGAACTAGAAAGGAATAAATAAGTTTGCATACATTTATAATAATAATAATCAACCATCAACATAAATAACACCTCGACCAACTATTCGTGCTGCTTGTCGAATTAATGTTGATTTTCTATAATTGAAAGGAATTTTTTTTTGTGTTATTTATTCTTTGTATAATTATCAAATATCTAACCCTACTCCATGTTCACCAAGTACAATATAATATGATGAAACAAGTTTATCAGCAACAGGTGTAAGAATAGTTACAAGAGAATTTAATAATGATTTTCTTTCAAGTAATTGTTTTTCTTTAAATTTAAAATTCGGACATGAACCATTTCGAAATGTAGATTTTATTTCATAATCATTTTTAACTTGCTCATATATGACATAACCAACACCAGCAACAATCTAATATTAATAAATTCTTTTTTTCCTGATGTTTTTTTTTTTTTTTGAATAAGAAAAAAAAAATTAAATATAAATTACAAGAATTGCAATGGAATTGATTTGAGATGAAAAAAAGGTTTCAACAAATTTTTCAACAAATGATAGTCGATCCCATTCAATTTTCTCACGTGTTTTGTTTTCATTTATTGTTTCAATCGTAACTTTTGTATCAATTTCATCATTATGATTTTCATTTGAGAATTTTTTTACTTGAGATAAATCAATTTTATTATTAGAACGATTTGATAATGTACGAAAGATTAATTTACCAACGTTCTATTGAAGAAATATTAATATGATAAATAAACATAGATAAAAAAAAAAAGAATTTTTTACTTGACAACGAGTAAATACAATTGATCTTAAATTCAAAGAAACATGTCGAAGATACATAATAAATAATCCTGAGGTTTTCGGAAAACTTTGTTTATACAATAAATAGATAGTTATTAATTAAGTAAGATAGTTAATCTATTGGTTTTATGTCATACCAACCCAACAAAAAAAACAATAGGTTTGCACATAGCATAATAGTAGTGACATCTTTTAAAAATATATTCTTATTATTAAATTTTGTTAGATATGTAAAAACAAATTTGAAAAGAGAATCAGTATAAGTTAATCAATATATCTTATTTTTCATGAATTGCTATACAATCCTTATCAGGTTCACATGTCTCTATTACATCACATATTTATATGTTTTTTACTCTATTGCCAATTATGAAAAACATAATCATTTGTTGTTTATCTTATTTCAAATAATCAATAACTTTTATTCACAATTTATAATATCAATTAACAAATTCATACGCATTAAACTAATATATACAGTTCTTTTTCATCAGAATAATATGTGCTATGATTTAGAATAATAGGATTATTGACACAAAAACATGAGGTATATATTACGAACCACATTTGTATATTTATTCGTCACCTACTTATCTTTTTATTGCCGTACACACAAAAAGCAATGTACTCTACAAAAAAAAAAATAAAGTAATTAGGACAATAGTGTTGATTGTAGTAACATATGTTTATATGGATGAAAAATGATACTTGATAATCAAAGATTATATCGTGATTCTATCCTAGACGATGTCTCTACTACATAAAGCTTTAATTGAAAATTTCCCCATGAAAATATCAAGATCATGCACACTAATTTACAAGCATATGTAGGAGAGAACAATGATATACGATATAATAATAAAAGCAAAAATGAAGATAGAGCTACATTCTTAGGACGAGTAACATGTAGTGATCATACGAAAATTTTATGATAATCAAATAATTTCCAAAAGATATCACCGAAACTTATCTATGTAATGGTATTGGTTCATTTTAGTTTATCTATGACATTCATAACATATACTATTATCATGTATTTGTATATTACTATAGAATTTTACAAGCTCTATAATAAAACAAAGTAAATGTTTTGGAAGATATATATTTATTCAAGCAAAATTTTTTGAAAAGACTTCAGTTTATTCGTGAAAAAAAAAATTGTCCTTATATATATTAAAAAGACTCTCAAGGTTGTATGATACATTAATATAGTATAAAAGTGGTTGTTTGTTATTCGAACGATTGTTTTTATATTATTGTCCTTGTTTATAATTATTTCTATGCAAGAAAAAAAGATATTCAATATATAAGATAAATTATATTTAAGTTAAGAAAATTTTTTCATTAATTTCTCGTAGAATATTCTCTGTCATGTCACGTTGATGTTTCTGATACGTTTTTTTTTAGAGATATGAAGGTCAAAAGAGATTTTTACGAGGTCAATAATAACAAGTACGCCTTATCTATAAATGAAACGACCAAAGTACAAAAAGCTTTTTGAGTTTGGGTACCATCGTGATATGCGTTTTCTTTCCCTAGATATATGATCTAGTTATTGATACAACAACTGCGTTTTATCTTGTACTGGTTACTTCTTCTAAATGCATTATCTGAAGGACATTTTTTTAAAAATTGACCATATATTAAGATTTATATATATTTGAAATCAGCATAATATGAATAATAATTCATGTTCAATATTATGCTAGTCAGTTTTGAAAAAAATGAATAGATGACACTAGATGATATTTTTTTTTCTGATGAAGGGTTGGTATAGAAACGTCAGAATAGAAATAGCTGAATCATTTACAATTATTACGGATAATATGTGTTAATGATGTATAACAAGCATAAAAATCAGTCGAACGAATACCTAAATAAATATTAATTAATCAATGTATGAAATCGTTGAAAAGGAAATGCTAAAATTTA